TCTCCCACTTTTTAGTTGTAGTCTTTCTGATTGTGAGATCATATAATGTTTACATTCTTCTATCCATGTATCTTTCAACACCCTTGATTTGTTCTTAGCGCTACAATTAAATACATAAAATGTTCACCATCTGTCCTTTTCCTGAAGTTTCCCCAGTCACTGCTTGGTCAGCTGAAGTGCATCCTCTAGGGGTCAGTAAACTACAGTTTGTGGGTCAAATCTGGCTCACCATCTGTTTTTGTATTGCCTGCAAGCTAAGCTTGGTTTTTATTCTTTTCTTTTTTTTTTTTCTTTTGGCTGCACCACAAGGCGTGTGGAATCTTAGTTCCCCAACCAGGTATCAAACCTGTGCTCCCTGAAGTAGAAGCACAGAGTCTTAACCTCTGGACCTCCAGGGAAGTCCCTTAGCTTGGTTTTTATATTTTCAGATGGTTGGGAAAGAAGATGAGAAGAATAATATTTCATGATAAATGAAAATTATATGAAATTAAAATTTCAGTGCCTATAAATAAAGTCTCATTGGAATGTGGCTATGCTGGTTCATTTATTTATTGTCTGTGGCTAATGCTTCACTGCCAGAGCAGAATAGAGTAATTCAACAGAGATTCCATGGCCTGCAAAGACTAAAATATTTACTGTCTGTTCCTTTCTATAGGAAGTTTGCTGATCACTGCTCAGGTAGATTCCTCAGGAAGGTCGCATGTATACTGTGTTCCTTAAGTTCTGACATGTTCAAAATTATATTATTATAACTCGGCTGTAGACAGTATTCTTGGTTTGCAGTTTCTTTCCTTGAAAATGCTGCACTGCTGTTGTCTTGCTTTATGTGTTGTTACTGAGAAGTCTGATGCCAGTCTAATTTTCTTGTGATTATGTTATTTCATCTTTTTGCCTAGGGCCTCAGGACCTTTATCTTTAAAGTCCAGTAGTTTTAGGAGGGTATACTTTGGAGTTGATCATACTGAGTGAGTTTTCTCTTAGTCACTCTTGGCTGTTTGATTGTGTAGATTCAGGTCTTTTATTTCCAGGAAGTTTTCTTAGATTACAGTTTTAAATATTACCTCTGTTCCATTGTTTTGATTTTTCTTTGGTGATTCCAGTTATACTCATCTGCCTCTATTAGGCCTATCTTCTATTTCAACCACTTTTTCTCTGACCCTGTATTTCTTTACTTCATCTTATTTTCATTCTCTTGTTTTCCTGCTTGCCTACTGTGAAGTATTTCTTTACTTCATCTTATTTTCATTCTCTTGTTTTCCTGCTTTGTTTCAATGCTATTTATTAACTTTTCATTTGAGTCTATCATCTTGTAATTAAAAAAAATTCATTTCTGGTATGATACCATTTTCTTCCTGGTTTTTCCCCTTAGTTCACTCGAGTCTCATTTTATTTATTCCTATTTCTTTGTCCGTTTCTGTTCTTAGTTCTTGTATTTATGATTAAAGGTGTTTAGTCTGATTAAGGGTTTTTAATGCTTGTTTGAGGCTGTGTAATTCAGTTTGGAGCATTATATAGTTTTCTTCAGCTTCATAATTGGGTTTTGGCTCTTATTTGCAGTTTTTGGCTTTTTTTTTTTTTTTTTTGCAATAGTTTTGTGTGGATATGGTGTACTTTCTTCTGTTCTTTTTCATTTCATGGATAGGTTTCACAAGTGCTCTCTTCTGTCAGTTCTACCCTCTTCTTTGGTTTTTTTTTTTTTTTTTTTGCAGTATGCGGGCCTCTCACTGTTGTGGCCTCTCCCATTGTGGAGCACAGGCTCCAGACATGCAGGCTCAGCAGCCATGGCTCATGGGCCCAGCCGCTCCACGGCATGTGGGATCTTCCCGGACTGGGGCACAAACCGGTGTCCCCTGCATTGGCAGGCGGACTCTCAACCACTGCACCACCAGGGAAGCCCCTAACTTATTTTATAGATGATATTGGTGATGGTGGTGTGGTGAGGGGAGGGTTTGGCATGTCTTGTTTCTCTCTTGTTTCATAGGATCCTTAAATTTTCTTTCTTATTTACTTCTTTCATTTACTGCCCCATCTATAATGGGTTACCACCTTTTTTAATGTATTTGATTTTCCTCCAAAAGTAATGCTTTTCTGAGGTGGCCACTTCTGGTCCTGTTCACTTTCAGTCTCTTT